GGCTTAGATCGCCAGCAGGCGATCTAGTCGTGACTAGATCGCGTTCTGCGGCGGTTTCGGTTTTTCGCGGCTTTGCAAAACGAGTTCTCGAGTTTTATAAAACGATCTTCGAGTTTTTATAAAACGATCTTCGAGTTTTTATAAAACGATCTTCGAGTTTTATAAAACGATCTCTCGAGTTTTATAAAACGATCTCTCGAGTTTTATAAAACGATCTTCGAGTTTTATAAAACAATCTTCGAGTTTTATAAAACGATCTCTTGAGTTTTATAAAACGATCTCTCGAGTTTTATAAAACGATCTTCGAGTTTTTATAAAACGATCTCTCGAGTTTTATAAAACGATCTCTCGAGTTTTATAAAACGGTATTAATCATTTTATAAAATGATTTCGCGGAAAATAATGGTTCCATCTTTTACAGAAGCTATCGCAGACGTTGATTTCGAGATTACGGTTTTCGACACCAACAGCCAACATAAAGAAAACCCGTCAGCAAAAGCATGAAAATAAAAATCACAAACTCAGGGAAAAAGACATGATTTATACGAAGAAGATCACCATGGATATTGCGGGACCACCTTTGAGAAAAGGAGATGTATCCAAGGTAACAATTTGGTGTTCAAAGTAGCCAACAGCCTCGCTTTCCCAGCAGAAGACTGAGCACTATGAGGAGATTGCTTTGAAGAACTAGTAGCCAATCCGGAGATTTTCTACTTCTTCTTCTTCTTGCTAGAGGAAGAAGCTCCGCCTTGGTATCAGAGGCTCCTTTTTTTTGGCTCACTTCGCCTTCATGGCTTTCTTGTAAACGACAAGGGCTTTAATTCCAAAGCTCTCGACATGTTTTCTGCAAACAAATCAAGACAACATATAAGAAAAATCCTAGAAAGACGATCAACGAAGAGTAAAGTCATCTGGTGTTGAAATTTACCCAAAATGCTGCATCCCTCCAACACCCTCCCCCCAAATGTCGTTGATTGCCCTTTCTTATATTGCTAAGATATATAGAAAATGTTACTGCAAATAATATAAGTTATGGTTCTAAATAGTTACCAAAGGTATTAACATAAATTTACTTACTAAATTTCTTTTCTTTCCTTAAAATTTACTTTCTTTTTGAGGGATATTTGTTGCACATGGTTTCTTGTTATTCTTCTACTTCTACATAAGTATAGAATATAAATCTTCTTTTAAATTCATATTATTTTATTCTTATTGTTTTTCTTTTGTTTTCATTTATATTATCTTTACTAGTCTTCAAATTTGTTTGTAACATAATATATATATATATATATAAACAACAAATTTTACATGAATTCAAATGGAAAAATAACTACACAATTTTGGTTAACCCACAAGTCGTCATGCCTTTAGTTTCTTCTGGAGATACCGACTTTGGATGAAGCCATCTCATCATTCAAATTCTCACCTGAAAGCTCCTCAAGAGACTTTCCTTTAGATTCTGGCACTAAAAATGTCATAAGCATACCGACAAAATTAATAACACCAAGCATGATCAACGAGTTCTTGACACCAATACCCGGTGGATATCCTGCGTCTGTCTTGGTCTTATCCTTTGATTGAGCCGCATATAAGAATCCAAACGCGCCTACGATAGCTCCAGCCTTTCCTGCCGCGGCTGAAATTCCGTGACATGTGGATCTCAACCTAGCTGGGAATATCTCGGCAGGTACAACAAATGTAGTTACATTTGGACCAAAGTTTGCAAAGAAGAAAGTTAGGGAGAATATAATAACGAATCCGATGCGGTTGTCTGGTTTGGTCCAGTGGTCGTAAGGCAAAGCTAAAGCGAACATAAACACGGTCATGAAGAAGAATCCCATTATTTGGATCGAAAATCTTCCCATAATATCAATAAAAAAAACGGTGAACCAGTAACCTGGGATGGTACTGAATAGTGAAATGAGAGTTTGCGCTCTAGCAATCTTGTAAACTTCATGGATGGCATTCATCGTAGCCGCCTTTGGGATCCATCCGATCGCAGAAAATATATCTTTTTCAAATAAGTTTTGGCTGTAAAACGCAATGTCAAGCAAGAACCACGTGGATGTAGTTCCAAGGAGAGGAAGTCCATGGCGTTTAAGGAATTTTGTGGAGAACAAGCCATAGTTTAGCTTGGGATCTGTAACCATGTTTTCTGCTATTTCTTCCTCGGCTTTAAGATCCACTTGCAAGACTTTCGACATGTCTTGTGCAGCTAGTTTGATGTTTCTGGCAACTAAAGCGGTGTAACGTGCAGTTTCGGGCATTTTCATTCGCCAGTAATAGGTCATCGCTGCAGGGAGAGCACCAATCATAAGTATAATACGCCATAAGTAATCAGATTGAGGTACCGTCGAGCCATCAGGGTCTACACTATAGATCGGTGATGGGAATTGGTAATCAAAAATGCTCGAGAGTACTAGTGCAACGATGCCTCCAGCCAAGATCCCAAACCCTTGCATAGCGAACACGGCTGCAATGAATCCACCACGAGTCTTCTTGTTCGCATACTCTGACATGATCGTCGCTGAGAGTGGGTAGTCACCTCCGATACCAACTCCAAGCCAAAACCTTTTTCCAAAGTTGCAAAAAAATACACAATTTACATCAATAATAATTTTAGCATATTAAAGTGTCCTTAGTCGGTTGAATTACAATTATTAATTTTCATTTCAATACTCCTTTTAAAGATTGTCAGTCATATATTTATTCAAAATATTTTCACTCATAATATATATGTATACATATATACTATTATTTGCAAAGTGATTTTTGTCTCCGAGCTCTCACATTAAAAGTTAGAGTGGTTAATATCGTTATTACCCTTAATGAATAAAATACATAAACTAGCCAAAAAAATAAAAACAAATTAAAATTTATTTTGATTAGATAAGTGATTCAAACAAATAATAGTAAGAATTATCTATAATCTTCAAATATACTTTAAAATGAAAGAGAATTCATATATATCATGTTGTAATCCAAAAAAATATCTTTTAATAAAAAGGTTAAAAATTCAAAAGCTGAAAATACAAGACTAAATATTAATTAGGTGAAATTCCAATATGGTGGTGTTATTTCATATTTGATATCTTTTAAAAAAGGAAACAAAATTTTGTTAAATTATATTATGTTTTAAAATAAAAATAGAAAAAATAAATCAAACTAATAATATTTACAAAAAACGCAAATAATTCTTTTAAAAATATTCTTTTAACATTACATTATGTTTTTAAAATAAAAATATAAAATATAATAAAAAACAGTAATAATTGAAAAAAAAGATTTAATTTTTTTTAACATATCTTTAAAATGAAAACAAAATATTGTTACATTATAATATATATTTTTAAAATATAAAAATAAAAATAGTATAATTGGTTAGTATTAATTTTTTTTATTTAATGTTTAAGATTTTTCAAAAGGGTTTATGATTTACCCGAGGGTTTAGGGTTTAGGATTATGGTTTAGCGTTTAGTGTTTTAGTGTTAAAATGTATTTTTTTAAGAATTATTTTGCGTTTTTTGTAAATATTATTATTTTTTATTTAGTTTTGTATTTTTATTTTAAAAAACATAATATAACTTAAATATTTTATTTCCTTTTTAAATATATATCAAATATGAAACAACACCATCCTATTGGTTGGTGAACTTATAAGTTCACCCTAGGGGGTGAATCCAAGAATAACTCTATAAATAAAGCTATAACTAGAATAATTGTTAAAGGATTTGTTTTCCATTTATGAGCAAGATTGTTCGATTTAAATTTCAGTTTTATTCGACTTATTCTTAGGTTCACCTCCTAGGGTGAACCTCTAGGTCCATCATCCAATAGGATTGTATTATTTCATATTTGATATCTTTTTAAAAAGAAAACAAAATCTTATTAGGTTATATTATGTTTTTAAAAATAAATATACACAAAATAATTAATAAAAAAGAAAATATTTTTTTTAAAGAAAATATTTGAACACTAAACCCTAAACCACTTGGTAAATCATAAACCTTTGAATAAATCTTATATTGCTTTAAAAGTTTACTGTTTATGATTTACCCAAGAGTTTAGGGTTTATGATTAGATGTTAGGGTATAGTGTTTTTGATTTACCCAAGGATTTATGGTTTAGGAGTATAGTTTAAGGTTTAGTGTTTTAGTGTTAAAATATTTCTTTAAAGATTTTTTTTTTATAAAAATTATCCAAAGATTTATGATTTATCCAGGAGTTTAGGGTTTTGGATTAGAGTTTAGGGTTTAGGATTAGAGTTTAGCGTTTAGTGTTAAAACAACATAATACAATTTAATAAGATTTATTTTTTATTTTTTAAAAGATATCAAATATGAAATAATGCAATCATATTGGATGGTGAACCTAGAGAATCATCTTAAAGGTTAAACTCAAGAAAACTCATTTATATGTACCTGAAAAAGCAAAGAGTGGTCATGACGCCTTTGGAATTATTTCCAAACGAGAGACCGGAGGCGACAGAGCAAACAACCATCATAATCAAAGTGATTCCATATACTTTTTTTCGGCCGACTTTATCTCCAAGCCACCCAAAAAAGAGTTGACCCATAAGTGTCCCACATAGAGCTACACCATTAACCGCTGCCGCCACTTCTGGTGGGAGTGTACCGGGCTTCTCTGCGCCCGCCTTGTGGTAGTAGATGCGACCTAACAGCTTTGTGACCAATGCAATGGAAAATAAATCGTAGGCATCGGTGAAGAAACCCATCCCGGCGATAATAATTGCCGTGAAATGGTAAAACTGTGTTTTGGCTACATCGAGTGCCTTGAGCACTCCTAACTGGTTGTTTCCAGACATTAACTGGCTTTTCTTCTAGATTATCTACAAAGATAATAACAAAATTAGTGCTATATATAAAAACAATATTCATATTTGATTAGAAGTTGAAGGATTAAACGTTTGTCGCATAAGAATCGATGATATAATCTAGTTGAAACGCATAATGATGAACTCAACTGAATTAACTAACCTTTATGCTTATGATGAGGTTTTTGGTTGTCGTGTTTTATGAAACGACTAAAGAAGGATTCTTAAAACTTTTGTCGTATAAGAGTTCTCAAAGTTAGAAAACGTGTGCTACTTATATACCAAATTATTTCTCAAGTCAACTACGTAACTATATATTGGAGTCTACAAGAACATGTATAAGTTTGTTTGTGCTTTATAACCTATTATAATAAGAACCTCATTAATACGCAACTATAGTGAAACTACACTAGTATGAATTCAGCCGTTTCAATCGTTTACTAGTGTTGTCGTGATTATGGCCGGTTCTAAAGGATATCGAAACTTTAATAAACATAAATAATAGTAAGTGGAGTTCAGGAGGAGCGGATCAAGAATTATTTAATAAGTTTTAACACAAAAAGTTACTGAAAGACAACAAGTTTGGTGGGACACATGTCGCACCTACTAGATCCGCCTCTGTGCCTCTGACAAACAAATATTCGCTTTTCTGCCTTGTAAATATTCAAATACTCACAGTAATTTTGGTTATTATTTTAACTTTTGGTTCGGTTTGACAAGTTTCGGATAAATTTATAATTAAATATTCTAAAAGAAATATTGCTCTAACCAGCGTGTTATATAACATAAATATTACACGTTAACACATCATTGTTATACCAGAAAAATCTTAAATCTAATTCCTCTGGCGATGACAGATATGGCGATAAGGAAATCCAGGACAATCCCGATTCATCCTTCCTAGATCTATACACTCTTCAGTGATAGATCACGTTGGGAGACCGGCTTAACCCTTTCTTGGCTGGTGGTGGGTACGTTAATCTCAAAGAGATTGATCCTTGTCAATTTCTTGTTTATCACGAAAATCATTTCTCTTTTTCTTGTTGTGATCGAAAGGAGTGACAACTAAGCGATCATCATCGTTTATTGGCTACTTGCGACCAGTTCTCTTATGTTTGAATCTCCAAGCAATCTAGTATCATATATCTATTGACTGGGAGATCAGATTCTTACAGTGACCAACGTTCAACCTATTTCACTGCTAGGATCATCACAGCGAAGTCTATCTTTAGAGACCATTGTCTTTCGAGATTTGTTTGCTGTGGATAATAAGGACAAAGCAACAGTATATGGGGTCATCGTATCGTGCTCAATCTGCTCATATGAAAGATACTAAAAGAAAAGGAATCCTTTATGAGGATGATGATGAACCTATCAAGCTTTCGGCACAAGATGATGCTTTCGTTATAAAAGAATATAGGATGTCTCTGATCGGAAAGATCCTTAATCCTAAGAAGCAAAATGTCAAAAATTAGTTCAGACGATGCCTCCTCAATGGAGCCTCCAAGATCAAATCACAACAAATGACTTAAGTAATGGAAATTTCTTTTTTAACTTCTATTCTGAAGAGGAGTTGAAATTTGTGCTCAGAAAAGGTTCATTCCACTACAACTATTGCATGTTTGTACTAGTGAAGTGGGAACCAATCGTCCATGACGATTACCCCTTGGTCATCAAATTTTGTGTTACCTTTATCGGGATGCCACTGCACTTGTGGACATATAGGAACTTGAGGAATATTGGTGGTCACCTTGGGTATGTGGATACAGTTGATCTCCCAGAGAGCCGTTTATTGATTGAGATAGACTTGAGGAGACCTCTAAAGTTCAAGAGAAAAGTACAACATACTGAGGTTACCTTTATTGGGATGCCACTGCACTTGTGGACATATAGGAACTTGAGGAATATTGGTGGTCCCCTTGGGTATGTGGATACAGTTGATTTCTCGGAGGGCCATTTATTGATTGAGATAGACTCGATGAGACCTCTAAAGTTCAAGAGAAAGGTACAACGTCCTGAGGGAGATGAGGTCACCATCGAGATCATATATGATTTGCTCTTTAAGAAATGTACTATCTGTGGCTTAATGACACATGCGAAGGATTACTGTCCATCGATAGTGCCTAATCCATCGATGAGAGCTGATATCTTTGATCGTGTTCAACTTCCTCACGATCGATATGGTCGCCAGCCTTTGCTCAGTGATACAAGTAACACCATGGGAACTGACAAGGGAATGGTACAGAAACAGGACGTCATGCATTGCTTGGATCGTCTCGCATTGTTTCAAAAATGAATAGTTAGAGTAAGGAAATACATTCTCGTATGTCTGATCCACGAACTAATGATCATGGGACAAGACTCACTGAATGGGATTCCTATTATCCACATTCAAGCGGTGATGATAGTCATAAATATTATCATGCAGACCGGGTTATGAGAGGACGTGATGCGAGGGTAGGAAACATGCGATACAAGGGTTCCCGACATGGTAAGGGTCTTTATGATTGTAATTTTAATATGACCTTGAGCGAAAAGGAAAGAAAAAATGAAAGCAAGTACCAGAATTTTTCGGAAAAGGCTACTGACTTGGTTCCTTATGAACATGTCGAGTGTAATGGCAATACCACGCAAGATGTCGGTAAGTCTCAGAGAAGTAGCGAGACTAATAATGCTGCAGATGAAAGACAGTGCAAGCATCAGGCTAGTACCATTGTGGCTCCAGGATTCCAGCAGGCAAACATGCATGATAATGTCACAATACGAAGTAAGACTGTAGCGAGGTCTCTAACGTTTTCACTACAAACATCTTTCGCTGTCGTAATGGATGAGCAAGTCATTGGTGCTTTAAGTGATATGGAGGTACATGCAAAGGATGGAGATGGTGATGACATGATGGCAAGCGATGATCTCTTTGATTATGAGCTTAAGGATCTAGAAGACAAGGCTCGGCATCCTGATACAATGGGCTCTTTACGGGCTAAGCACTCCTTCAAATGTGGGTAAAATCAAAGGGACAGTAGCAAGAGGAATCCCCCGTTGGGGAGTCAATCTAAGAAACCAGAGTTCCTTCGTAGAGGTTCTCCACGCAATAGAGGGACTGTATCCTCAGCTCATAAACCAGGAGGTAAGGAGATATCAAGACGTTCTCATGTAAGCTCCAAAAAGGCCAGAGTGGTTACAAAAAAAAGGATGGTGGTTTGATGGGTTCCAAAACTCCATCCCCCCATCATAAATGAGGTCAATCAGTTGAAACTGTAGAGGAATAAGGATCGACCTCACAGTTCAAAGCCTTACAAAGATATGTCAGAAGCATCACCTAGGACTTTTTTTTCTCTGTGAGACGAAGAATAGGAGGCTGCTATTGCAAGACATTCAGGCCGACTTAGGATTTGATCATTTGTTTACCCTTGAGCCACTTGGCCTCAGCGGTGGATTAGCTTTGTTATCTATGGATGAATTTCAAATAAATGTTTTACTTTCAAATAACATAATGATTGACGTTGAAGCAGTCATTAATGGAATAAAAGTATTTATGACGTTTGTTTATGGTGATCATGTTTTAGAACGTAGAGATGTAGTTTGGAAACGTCTTACGCGTTTCTCTACAACAAGAAATAGACCTTGGTTCATGATAGGTGATTTTAAAGAAATCACTGGTCATAATGAGAAAGCGGGAGGCTACATGTCTTTCCTACCAGTCAGACAAATAATAAGTGATTGTGGAATGCTGGAATTTCCATTTACCGGAAATATGCTATCTTGGGTAGGAAAAAGAGCTGGGAGAACCACTGTTAGATGATGTCTTGATAGAGCTGTTGGAAATGAGGATTGGCATGAGAAATTATCTCATACTGCGGTGAAATACTTGAGATTATGGGGCTTGGACCATCGTCCAGTAATGGCAGTCATTCTCTTTAAACCCTTGAGGAAGAGGAAAATTTTTAAATTTGATAAAAGGTGGCTGGATAATGAGAAAATAAGGCAAGTTATCCTAGAGGGATGGAAATATCCATAACTCCCAACCGACGCAAGCATTATGGACCACATTTCAGGCTGCCGAAGGGCACTGAGTGACTGGAGGAGGTGACATAATTTGAACTCAGAAAAAAGTGTGGAGGAGCTTAATACTAAGGTAGATGAGTTATATTCTAATGACAATGCTACGACTGAGGAAATAGCTGCAACTTTAAAGAAATTATTCAATGCTCTTAAGACTGAGGAGATGTTCTGGAAACAAAAATGTCGCATTTTTGGCTTAGAGAAGAAGATAGAAATACCAAATTCTTCCATACTCTCACAAAGCAGAGGAGAGCAAGGAATAGAATCACAGAGCTCTTGGACGCTTATGGAAATGTTGATCAAGATGAGGAGGGATTGGTAGCCATTGCTACTAATTATTTTCGACATATCTTTGAGTCATCTAATCCGGAAGATATTGAGGATGCATTATCAGAGGTATCTACAACGATTACTGAGTCGATTAATGCGGAGCTCACTGCTCCTGTCACTGAACGGGAGATTAAATTGGCATTTTTTTGCTATGCATCCAAAGAAGGATCCAGGTTCAGATGGATGACAGCCCTATTCTAATAGAAATTTTGGAATCTAGTAAAAGACCATTTAACTCATATGGTTAATCAATTTCTATTTGAGAGAACTATGGCGAATGGTTTAAATGACACAAATATATGCATCATACATAAGATAGATAAGCCAACAGAGATGGGACAGTTTCGACCCATTAGCTTATGTAATATCAGCTATAAGATAATCTCTAAGGTCCTATGCCAGAGATTAATATCTGAAATCCAGCCAGCCTTTGTTGCCGGATGACATATATTGGATAATATTATGGTTTCCCAAGAAATGTTTCATGCTTTGAGAACTAACCAAGTGGTCGAAATAAAAAGATGGCCATTAAAATAGACATAAGTAAGGCATATGACAGAATGGAGTGATCGTTCATTGCGGCTGTTATGCGGAAAATGGGATTCTCAGACACATGGATAAATTGGACAATGTTGCATTACATCTGTAAAGTACAAGGTACTTATGAATGGTCAACAAAGAGGAAATATCGTTCCAGAGAGAGGTCTACGTCAAGGAGATCCTTTGTCTCCTTTCATTTTTATTCTATGCACAGAAGTGCTCGTTAGCCTTCTAAATCACACAGAGAGTCGGGGGAAGATAACGGGGATGCGGGTTACGCATGCATGTCCTTTGATATCTCACCTTCGTTTTGCTGATGATAGCCTTTTTTGTAAGGAAGAGCCCCGTGGATGTGAAGAAGTGATGAAAGTGGTAAGGAAATATGGACAAGCATCATGACAATGCATATTTTGGATAAATTCTCTATGCGTTTTGGCAAGAGAATTGGCGCAGATACTTGACAGCATATTAAAGATGTGTTGGGGATACATAATGAAGGAGAGATGGGAACATACTTATGCATACCATAAGATATCAGCGGTTCAAAATGCAAACTCTTTGCGTTCCTCAAGGATATACTAAGAAATAGAGTGAACGGTAGAACGGGCATGTGGTTATCAAAAGGAGGAAAGGAAGTTCTAATTAAATCCATTTTACTATCTCTCCCGACATATGTGATGTCATGTTTTTTGCTTCCATCTGAGATTTGTGAAAATCTCGCAAGTGCCATTGCACAATTTTGGTGGAATTCAGATCCACCAAAGAGAGGGATTCACTGAACAAAGTGGGAGAAAGTCTGCCTACCACGAGAGGAAGGAGGAATTGGATTCCCTGACTCATCTCGAGTTCTGAGGGAGAGATACTATAAATTGAGTTCGCCCTTGCGAAAAATTTATATTCATAATCCATCTTATGTGTGGACTAGCATTTTAGCGGCTCGACGTCTTCTGCTATTGGGAATCAGATAGAAAATCTATTCAGGGTATGAGGTCAAGGTTTGGGAGGACCCTTGGATTCCAACAACGCCAGCTAGACCGGCCTTGCCCACTGCACCAGTTTTGCATCCGAATATGAGAGTGAGTAATCTAATCAATCAGGAATCAAAGGAATGGGATAGGGTTTTACTGGACAATTATGTGGATCCAGATGATATAACTCTCATAAGCAGTATGGCTATAAGCTCAACACATCGTCGTGATACTTTTTGTTGGAGCTACACAAAAAATGGACTATACACTGTGATATTAGGATATTGGGTGGCTAGAAATATACTCAAGAATGAGGAAGAGATGGAGATATGTGAGCCAAGTATAACCAAGCTCAAAGCATTTGCCTGGAAAGTTAGAGCACCCTAAAAGATATGTAACCTTTTGTGGCAACTGGTATCTGGTCATGTGGCTGTTACGAAAAACTTAAATCACAGGAATATGAGATGTGATAATTATTGCCCAAGATGTGGGGAACCAGAGGAATCTGTTTCGCACTCTATTTTTTAGTGTCCTCCAAGCCTTGCAAATCTGGTCATTATCAGCAACACCTTTTGGTGCCAACATATTCTCTAAAGGAAGCATATTCATCGATATGGATTACCTATTCTGGACGAAGAACAACATTGTTGAGCTTGAATTAGACATGGATCCTTATCCTTGGATAATCTGATATATTTTGAAAGTAAGAAATGATAAATTATTCAGAGGAATAGATAAAGACCCTATAGAACTCGTCCGATACACGGAGAGCGAATGTCGTGCATGATTCAATGAAAATGAGACAGCTTCGGTTGTTCCACAAGAGCTTAGTAGTGACAACCTTCAAGTCATAAGTCTGGAAAACATTTGTATGGTGGATGGTTCATGGACATCCACATCTCAGTTTAGTGGATGTGGATGGGCTTGGATAGATAATCTCGGAAGGTTCACCTTATGGGAATGAGAAACTTAAGTAGGAGAGAGATTGCGCTGCATTCATAGGTAGAAACGCTGCGATGGACAATGGAGAACATGCTTTAACATTCGTCATGTCAACACTTTGGCACAGATCCTAGAGTTTGGCTGAGTTTTGCGACAGAACTAGAGACACTACCAACACTGTTCATATGCACCTCAGACTTTGAGATTTTTCGTATTCCAAGAGTCCGAAATGAAACTTCAGGCTGATTAGCTAAGATTGTAAGATTGTTCAAAAAAGAATTTTTTTTTATTGGTTATTCTATTTCCATCAGATTACTAACGCCACCCAATTTTTGAGTAATAGAATAGTTGTTTGATATCAAAAAAAAAAATATATATATATATATATATATAATAGCAATAAGTAAGAAAATATTGTTCGTATATTGGCAGTTCATTTGAGGCTTGACTCATCGTGCTTCAGGCTTCAGCAAATGTAACTAAATCAAAAATAAAATAACATGAGTCAAGTTGATCACCTCACTTCCACAATTCATTTTATTGAAGTATTTAGTTCTAGAAAAAAAGATTATAAAACAGCTAACGTCAACCCATATAGAGTTGGTACATGATCATATCGTTGACGCGGTTATGGCTGCGGGTGTCATTAGTACAAAATAAATTATTGCAGATTTTAAAAAATTTGACGTCGTGGCCAATTACGATTATATACTTGGTTTGAATAATGTATTCTTTTTTTTTTTTCGAATAATGTATTCTTCATTATCAAACAAGGAATTATCTAGTATTTTCTAAAACATTGTTGAATATGTGTGAATTTCTTATGACGCATCGTGAATGTTTGCCATATTTTTGTCAAGTAAATTTGTATTTGTAGCCCTAACCCAAAAGATTATGATAAATTAATAAAATCAGGTTTTATAAAGAGGTCCAGACCCATGCAGAAGTGTAGGATTTTCTCATAAGCCATACAAAAAATAAATCTCTAGAAGCGAAATAATCTTTTTCTAAAAATATTATCGTCTCTCTTCTCTCTTCCCTAGGGTTTTTCCACTGAAGTATCTCTACTCCGGCACCGTCTCGTTTTTATGGTGGTCCTTGGAACTCCTCTGTGTGCTTCTCTTCTTTCGTTCTCCTCCTCTGTTTGTCTCTGTGGTCTTCCTC